AGCTATGTTGTAAGAAGCTTGCCGCTTTAACGTATCGTCGACCTTTGTTGTCTGACAAGGCTTGCTTTCTTACTCGTTTGATTTCAGGTTATTTCGGTCATATCGCAGTAGCGTCATTGATGCATGAACTGCATTTAATCTGTCATCCTTGCGTTGTATGTTTCTATCATTCCAGTTGTTTCTTGTATGTTGAGACGTTCATCCCGTGTTACGGCCCGAAAACGCCCATCCTCASCCGGGAATAATCAACCCCGTCCTAAAAGAACGCGTGGGCCACGTGGTGCGACAGAGCGCCCACACACAGAGACAACGCCTTCTGTYGAGCAATCGGTGGCCATTTCAAATGAGGTTGTGCAGCGAATCGCCAACTTGGTCACCCAGAATGTGAGACGGGAGCTTGGTCAGGTGCTGAATGCCCCTGCAGATGAATCAGATCATTCGTCGCTGCAGATCGACCAGCCGTTGCTCGATTCCGATCTCCACGAGGAACCAGTTGGCGGACAACAACAACCACCATGTCCGACGATCACCGCCAGGACCGAATCTTCAGGTGAGCTCGCAAACCCTTTTGTATCGGCCAGTTTACCGATTGATTCCCGCGTGACGGAGAAACTAAAACAGAAAATATGGAACCACGAATATGTGGAATTTGGATCCCTCCTTCTAAACCCAAYAGCACCGCCACGCTACAAAGTATCTCTCGATAGCAGTGAGGCTCAGTTGACATTGGAACCCGCCGACAAGTTACGCAAGATAACAACCATAGAATCCTGRCTYACAGCCTTTCATGTTTTTGTAGGGGTCTATACTTCTCGCTTTAGCAAGGAAGCTCCTGCGCTAATGAAGTATGGGTCCCTCATCCGCGATTTAGCGGCCAGTGGACAAAATTGGCAATTTTATGACGAAAATTTCCGCTTTATGCGTCAGCGTCATAACCATTCGCTACCTTGGGGCTCGATCCACAATGAGTTGTGGCTTCGTTCACATGTCTAATCGCCTAATCACAAAACTGTGAACAGTGTACAACAGCGCAAACACACTAGCTTTTCTATTCCGTATGGCTATTGTGTGAAACACCACAAAGGAATTTACTGTTCCAGTTGTCGATATAAGCATTCTTGTTTTAAGTGCCCGGGTGATCATGCAGTCACGAATTGTACTTTTCGTGCCGGACATGCCATTAATTCCACAAATTCCAAGAGATCTAGCCCCAAAGCCAACAACGCCGCCCTGCCCGCTAAATCGCATCAACAATCTTCCCACTCCGGTTAAGGTAGATAGGCTAATTTCTMTATTGGCTGGTTACRGATTCATCGATTGTTAAATTTTTGAACTTAGGCTTTTATTTTGGTTTCYGAATACACTTTGAGGGCCACTTGACAGCTGTCACTCCTGAGAATTTGATGTCGGCTCGTGAGCTACCAATGGTAATTGACGACAAGCTGGCCAAACAACTTAAAGCCGGTCGAAWAGCGGGTCCCTTTATATTATCTCTCTTTCCACTTTTTCGCATTTCACCGTTAGGTGTCGTACCCAGGAAGACTCCCGGAGACTACAGGTTGATTCATCATTGATCGTATCCTAAGGGTTTATCTGTTAATGACGGAATTTCTTCAGAGCACAGCACAGTATCTTATGCGTCAATCGATGATGCAATTCGTCTGGTTAAGAAGTGCGGTAGAGGCTGTTCTTTGGCGAAAACCGACATTAAGAGCGCCTTTAGGATTATTCCTATTCATCCAGCGGATTATCACTTGTTAGGGATGAAGTGGAATGGGGATTTCTATTATGAYCGTTGTATGCCAATGGGATGTCGCAGCTCTTGCAAGATRTTCGAAACTTTGAGCACAGCTGTCGAGTGGATCACTCGAAATAAGTTATCGATTGAATGCATTTTGCATCTCTTGGACGATTTTCTTATCGTCAATTCTTCACGTAGGATGTGCGTCCAGCAACTAGATATTTTTACTCAGACTTGTGATTATCTTGGGATTCCTATAGCTCCGGAGAAAACAGTCGGTCCGGCCTCTGTTCTGTCTTTTGCGGGAATTGAACTTGATTCGAATCTCATGGAGGCTCGCCTACCATTAGATAAAGTTACWAAGTGCAAGCAGTGTATCRAAGGTTTTCTTAAGCGCAAACGAGTGACTCTGAAGGAATTGCAATCTTTAATAGGCTTACTCAATTTTGCCTGTTCGGTCGTACGGCCTGGCAGAGCTTTTTTGAGGCGTCTAATTGATCTTACTATCGGTGTACGGCAAGCTTATTATTCGATTCGTTTGTCTTATGAATCAAAACAAGACCTTCACGTATGGCACTCCTTTTTGTCAGGTTTTAATGGTAGGTCATTTTTCCTCAATGACTTCTGGCTTAATTCGGTTAAACTAAATCTTTTTACCGACGCTTCCGKTGCTATAGGTTTTGGTGCTATTTTTGGCAAACATTGGTGTTACGGTCAATGGCCTTGCGATTGGGCCTATCAAAACATCGCTATTTTGGAGTTTTATCCCATTGTTTTAAGTCTTAATCCATCTCGGTATAAAGGTCATAGTTTTCCTCCTCCCCTTGCCGGTCCTCTTGGTTMCTTTTTTCTGCCCAYACCTTTACTGGTCGAATGTGATTTAAGCTTATTATTCAGTTGTGGTTAAATATTAAAGGTTTTGATWGATTATTAAATATGGCTTTGAGRGTAATACCCTCATAGCCATTAACTYYATACTGCCTTGATTGATTCTACCAGTAAACAGAGCTCGGAAATGCAGGAACGAATGTGACCTAGATATTGCTATCACGGCATTGAAAATATAAATGAGTATATAAAAAATAAACCAGGAAAAAGTCCATCTGCTAAAGGCTAGATTTGTAAGACCTGTCAAACCTAGTTTTATCTTTCTTTCCATCTSTCCTCCCAAGCTCTAGTAATCGAAACTGAGTTATTCAAAATTATGTAGGATCAACCCAGTAAGRCCAACAAAAGAAAAGCAAGTGAAGCTGAAAAAGAGGTATGTGCCAGGATAGATATATCGTCRATGTGCATCAAAAGATACAACAAGACCACAAGTGATATACAATAACGATTTCTACTAATAAAATTTGTATAATTCTCACTTAACAAGATAAACAAGAGGGAAACTGAAAAGCTCCGTCAACTCAAACAAACAACAGAAGAATGCGAGGAGGAGTTGATAAATTTGGTAATTGTGATTTTTTCCCCCTTAAAATTGAAGCATGTGAAGAATATACAACCTAGATCAGTATTTCGGTTAACATTTTTATATCAATRCAGGAACGGAAGCTGTATGACGATGATGGTCAACCTGTACAGGGAGATTTAGAGGAGGTATTCGCCTGTTCTTGCTTTTGTAAATAGATATCAAAATATATTTTACGCTTGCTTATACTATATGCTTGATCTAAAGATTGCAGAAGAAGAACCTGCGATTGCAGAAGAASCTGCTATTGCAGAAGAAGAACCTGCACCCACAAAAAAAGAAAAGGTTTGTAGTGTCTCTTRACAGCACTATAAATGATCCTAGCATGTCAATGCTCTCCATTACATGTTTTATTTGATGTACCTGTTCAGACATAAATAATTTTTCATATTTCTTCTATTCAGGAATACAATATGATGGGCGGTGTAGRCGGAAAACTTTCGCTAAACGATGTCGTTGCTGTTGCCTTCGACAGAACRTTCTATTTATGAACAGTGAAAGARCTCAATGATTKCCCACTTGTTAGTTTCCTTAAAAAGGCGTCAGGGAATAATTTTAAAGCACCAAGATATCCTGAGATTGAGTCAGTAGAACCTATATACATATTTTGCTGCCCCAAGTACACATTCCTAAGTGGAACGTACAAATTAGAGGACTTTCTAGATGTGAAAAAAAAGTACCTTGCTTTCAAGGAGCATTACATGACCGAAAAACTAAATGATGAGTGAAATCGTCAGATTATTGCATAGCTTGGCAGTTCCAATTGATCAGAAAGCCACAAGACCTTATTTACCGCGATTGTCATTACTATATTATATCTACAGACATGTAGTAAAAGTATTTTATTGTTTTCGGTTGCTCCGGTGAACAGAAGGTTTACTAACTCAGAAATTTATCTTACAAAGATGAGGCACATTTCAGGGACGGCCTTGAAGTTATCCTTGAGCACCTCTTTGTTTAACTCTCTTTGTGTATTGATTCGTTAATAAAAACCAACATTGTGTCCACTTATGATAACTCATATTCACAATGATGTTGACAGTTTTTATAATTGACCTTTCATGTTTGCGCACTAGTCCATGAAGATGTTTTACTTGTATTAAACGCAGACATAGCTAAAAGGTGTAANATTTTTGGATGATTAAATTTGTGCAAGAAGTTGCCAAAAAGGACGGCGACCTGTATCCACCGAAGACATTAAACAGCATTGTGTGTGGTATAAACCGATACCTGGAAGACAAGAACGACTACAACTTCATGGATAAGAGTGATAAAAGGTAAGTTTTCAATGTTAAATTAAAACAATATGAGTAAATCATACCGTAAGCTTTATATAAAGACTTTACCTTCTTATTCTAGATTTTCCTTGCTAAGAAAAGTCATGGACGCCGAAATGAAAGAGTCCACAAAAAAAGGATTTGGCCTTAAGAACACAAAACCACAACGAGAACCAGTTACAGCAGAAGAAGAGGAGATACTTTGGTCTAAAGGACTGTTAGGGGGTAATTGTGCTACTAGTTTATTGCACACTATTTATTTCTATAATGGAAAATTATTTGGTCTAAGGGCGAAAGACCATCGCAATTTGCGAATAGCTAATTTCAGGATTACTGATAACATAATCACTTTTGACGAAAGTTTTAGCAAAACGTTTCACGGTGGCCTCAAAGATCTAAAAAATACACCAAGAGTATCCACTCATTTTTGCCACGATTCAGGTAAAGAGCATCCCAGGTGCTTAGTACAATTGTATAAGTTGTATCTTGAAAAAATCAAAATTTTTGATTCAGTAGTACAGGATAAGGCTTTCTATTTCTATCCAAATCGCGATTTCAGTAAGTTTGAATTTGAGCAAAGACCTCTAGGTGAAAATAAGTTAAATGGTATTCTACCAGATGAGCTTTGTGCTAAGGCCGGCCTGCCAAGGAAGACAGCACATTCATTAAGGATAACCACTGCAACTAGGCTTTTTCAAAGTGGTATTGAAGAGAAGCTTATTAGAGATCGAACGGGTCACAAATCAGATTCACTTTTCAAATATGAAAGAGTCTCAAATCAACAGTTAAAGCAAGCGAGTTCAATTTTAGGTCCTTGTAATTCCGAGGCTAACGATAGTACAAATTACCCTTCATTTGAGTTCAATCTGTTTGATACCTTAGGGGATAATGTTTTTGATAATGTAATTTCTGATGAAACATTATGCAGCATTAATTTATCTGATGATGATTTGATGTTTAATGAAGATGTGGCAGATGAAATATTAGCAGGCATAGATTACGAGAGTGCCACTACCAGTGTAACTCGGCCTACACCAAAAGTTAGTGAAGCTTGTACAGCTAGTCCACCTAAATTAGTGTTTAGTAACTGCACTTTCACCAATGTAACGTTTACTAATTCAAAATGATTGAACAGTTAAGTAATAACACAGATGTATTTATCTAGCTTAAAGGTAAAACTTGAAAATTAAAGACTATATGTTGCTTTGGCGTCTTGCATTTGATCTTGATAAAGCATTAATGAATAAAATATTAGTCCTTTATCGTAAATTGATAAAGGACTAATGTTTTATTCATTAATGCTTTATCAGCCCCGCACTCCCCTGAAAATATTCAATGCCGCCCCCGACTTTTAGAATGTTGCGCTTTTCTCTACTACTAAAAATGTCGTCACGTGGTCGTATAATAGCATATCATTGGCTTACAATCCTATGAATTATTAATGAGTTTGATAAGTGATAGAAAAAGCCTGTACTTATAAGTGATTAAAAAATTTACAATGATGTTAACATTTGATAATTGACCTGTCATAATTGCCACCTCAAAAGCTGTCAGGTGTAGACGGCAGAGTAAAAGCTGGTTTAGATTAATCTTCTTCTTTACTATTTCCCTTTGAATGACTATTAAACTTTAGCAAGTTTGAACAATTGTGATTAATTCTAATTTAGATCAAGACACATGCATATTGGCTGTTACAAGTCTTTCCTTATTATTACCAAAACAGGTAGAGTGAGAATTTGACTCGATAAAAGATACTCGTCTGACTTCGCATTCCTGAGCGCACGTGCTGAAATTATTTAAAGACAGGAATTGTTTCGTTCGTCTTTGTTCTATATATTTTAGCTAGAAAAAAGGACAGGCTTGAAATATACCTGATTCGTTTCTGTTAAAGCTAAAATTCTTGATCTTAGAAATTTCGGGAATATGAGTGCTCAGAGATGCGAAGTAAGGCGAGTGATTTTTATCGAGTCAAATTCTCACTCCACCTGTTTTGGTAGTATCTAAGCGATGGAAATGAACAGGAGACATAAAATAATCAACAAATTAAAAAGAAAAGTTAAGGTTAGTACTACAATTTATCCATGACCCATGCACCATCGAAGCTCGATGAGCGAAGTAGTCGCGCTACAGAGGACTTATGCGGYGCGGCTGTGTAATAGTCTACATATTTATGAAATCTCAGTTTTGATTTATTCACGTCTGAAAATATGTGATTTCATTGAACATTGTCGTTGCGATTTCGTTTTTTGGCTGTAGCTGTTCATCATAATTCGTAAATGAGTTGGAAATTATGCAAAGCTTCTTTGTGATACACTGGAGCGAAAATTCTATAACGAATCAGTTCGATAACAAGACAAGTTAAATTGTAAGTTAAATCGTCAGATCGAGAAATGTTCGTATATACATGTATATAGTAAAGCAGTAGATATCTTACAAAATCAAGCSTGTAAGCACTCATGGTAAGTGATAGTCATATCACGTGCTCTAATTGTCACTTACGATGACATATTTCATTGTTTTCGCACTAACTATAAGTGGCTTTGCCCTTATAGTAAGTGCAAATGACGATGACGTCGTGATTGTATGTTACCATAAGTGGGAATGCGTTTTCACACTCATGATAAGTGCAAACGATCAAAGCCACTTATCGTGAACTACAAGTCGGATTTATAAAATCAGGTCGGAAAATTTCTGCAGGTGTTTAAGGTGAATTTGTTTTTGAAGTCAAATTATATTTGAATGACTCAAACTATTTTCAAAGGTGCGAACATTTTGGATTAAAACCTAGCAAAACATGCTAGCTTATTATATTCGCTCTAATTCTA